CTCTCTGTCACCCAGGCCAGAGAGCCGTGGTGCAGTCATGGGTCACTGCAGCCTCAACCTCCTGAACGCAAGTGATCCTCCTGCCTCAGCCACCACAGTAGCTAGGACTACAAGCGGCGCACTACCATGCTGGAGTAATTTTTTTAAATTTTTAGTAGAGGTGGGGTCTCACTATGTTGCCCAGGCTGGTCTTGAACTCCTGGGCTCCAGCGATCCTACCACCTTGGCCTTTAATAGTGCTGGGATTACTGGTGTGAGCCACCATGCCCAGCACTGGTTTTGTTTGTTTTTAGTAGAGATGGGTCTTGCTTTGTCACCTAGGCTGGAGTACAGTGCTGCAATCTCAGCTCACTGCAGCCTCCAACTCCTAGGCTCAAGTGATCCTTCTGCTCAGCCTCCTGAGTAGCTGGGACGACAGGCATAAAGTCACCACTTAATGGCTAACTTTAAAAATTTTTTTGTAGAGACAAGTTCTTGCTATGTTTCCCAGGCTGGTCTTGAAATTCTGGACTCAAGTGATCCTCCTGTCTGGGGCTCCCAAAGTGCTGGGATTACAGGTGTGAGCCACTGCACCTGGCCTGTGGTTTTTTATAACAATTGTATGGAATCTGAGTTTGATCTCACCTCTAGTCTAGAGCAGTGGCTCTGAGGTTTTAGTGTGCAACAGCATCACCTGGAAGGCTTGTTAAAGAACAGACTGGTAGGCCCATCCATAGAGTCTGTGACTCAGTAGGTCTGGAGTTGGGGCCAAGGACCTGCAGTTTGAACAAGTTACCAGGCAGGGCTGATGCTGCTGATACAAGGAGGGCACTTTTGAGAAACACTGCTCAAGAGAAGTTCTTGATTGTACATAAATGCATTTTGTAGCTAAATATACACTGAACAGCCTTTAATACAAATTGTGGCTTCATTTCGCAAAAAAAGTTTCATATAAATAACTACAGGCTAGTTTCTGGCTAGTAAGAAATCTCATTAGAGCTTTATACCTTTGATAAAAGAAAAACAAATGTTATTACCACAGCAATACATACTGAGTAGGAAAATCAATCAGAACAAAGACCTTTCAGAAGTCGGGGGTTATTTTCCCAGTTCACTGTTTATCTAACCTTTTCTAAGCACCTGCTTCTGCAGAGTTTGATGACTCTTAACTATTAATATATCTGCTTTCCTTAAAGTTGCAGGGAAATAGGGGATATTTTTTCCTTATCTTGCAAGCTCTTTATCCAAAAATTTAAAGGACTGTAACTTTTAAAAACAATATGGTTAGGCATGGAGGTTCACACCTGTAATCCCAGCACTTTGGGAGGCCAAGGTTGGGGAACACCTGAGGTTGGGAGTTCGAGAGCAGCCTGGATGACAAGGCGAAACCCCGTTTCTACTAAAAATACAAAAATTAGTTGGGTGATGTGGTGGACACCTGTAATCCCAGCTACATGGGAGGCTGAGGCCCGAGAATCACTTGAACCGAGGAAGGAGAGGTTGCAGTGAGCCAAGATTACGCTACTGCACTCCAGCCTGGGCAACAGGGCAAGATTCTGTCTCAAAAACACACAAAAATAAAATTAAATAAATGCAAAATGTGTATGAAAGTGCTTTACAAAATACAGAGTATAATACTGACATATATGAAGCATTGTCAAAATTACTGAACTGTTAAAAAAAGAAGAACTTGTCAGATACCATTTTGGCTTCAGTTTCAGTGATTCAATAGTCACACTGTTGAGCTATGACTCAGTCAATAAACATTTTACAAAGTACTGGGGATGCTGTGCTACGTATGGGGATTTGTCATGCACATGCTTCTGAATTGCACAGCGGTAACTACACACACCCTCGTCCCCACAGAATGTTCAGACTTACGCATTTATAAGTTAAATGGCTACAAACCTTCATTTTAAAGACCGGCTGGAATTCTTTCAGAGCAGATAATAATTTAATTTGAATCGAGGCTCTTTCGGCTTCTTTACCATCTGCAAAAACATCAAAGAGGGCATCCAAAGCTTCTCCTGCTACCACAAGGGAAGGATCTTTGGTGGTAACCTCAAGTAGAAAGCACCCAATATTCTGGAAACAACAAAACACATTTAATATGACTAACACCAGTCTCCAAAACAAGTACTAACTTTGAATGTGGCAATAACTCATGCATACTATTTTATATACAAATGCCAGGGAAAAATTAAAACTTTAAGAGATCAGACTTAAATACTTATAAACATACCAAGTATAAGCAAGATAAATTAAACATATTATAGTTTATATTCATAGAGTGAATTAAAAACCATAAATGATGTATGATTTAGGAAATCACTAAACTTTCCTCTCTACCTCTCTCAAAAGGCTTGCTCTATGATGTCAAGATGCATAGAAATCTTATCTGTAACAACGACAACAAAAAATCTGCTTTTAAATGCATAAGAAAAACACTTTAGGGCCAGTCGCAAGTGGCTCACACTTGTAAGTTCAGCACTTTGTGAGGCCAAGGCAGGAGGATCACTTGAGCCCAGGAGTTCGAGACCAGCCTCAGCAATGGAGCAAGACTTCATCTCTAAAAAAATGTAAAATAGGACTGATCTGAATCTAAACTAGTCTGTAGATCTAACTGTCAGTGTGCAGGACATAAAAGGATAAAAGAACAAATTTAACACCACAAGGTAGCAATCAGACAAATCCAGAAGGCTGGACACCATAAAGGACAATTGATTCAGGAGCTGAGAATAACCAGGTGGTGCCGGGGAGGAACTGTTCAAGATTAAGAGAGAAAGAGAAGACCCCACAAGAAACATAACATGTGGACTTCAGCAATGTAAACAAGCTCTCTGTAAACAGATAATTTTGAGGCAACTGTAAAATTATGAATATGGACCGGAATTAGACACACTAAGAAATAACTGTTGCCGGGTGCAGTGGCTCATGCCTGTAATCCCAGCACTCTGGGAGGCTGAAGGGGGCAGATGGCTTGAGCCCAGGAGTTCAAGACCAGCCTGGCCAACATGGCAAAAACCCACCTCTATTAAAAATAGAAAAATTAGTCAGGTGTGGTAGGGGGCACCTGTAATCCCAGCTACTCGGGAGGCTGAGGCAGAAGAATTGCTTGAACCCAGAGGAGGAGGTTGCAGTGAGCTGAGATCGCACTACTGCACTCCAGCCTGGGTGACAGAGTGAGACTCCATCTCGGGAGAAAAAAAAAAAAAGTTTTGCAAGTATCATTTTTCAAAAATAGATTCTTAAAAACATCAGTCATCACTGTAAAGTTCTTAGCAGGTGAAGAGGTACTTTATAATAATGAGTTTACTATCCATTAGTCTCACACTTCAGCAATTATTAGCACACCAAAGGGTAATTTTACTATGACTGTCCTTTTAATTACTAGTGACGCTGTACTCCTAACAGTGCAGTTTGTAAGCAACTACGCCAAGTGTTAAGAGTAAATATGCTGAGGGAATTCCTAGTATATTGGCACTACCAGGGTTACTGCTTAACATTTATGGAGTGGTATTAGAATTAACTGTGTGGTATTTTTCAGAATGCATGTTGCCTGATGTGCAAGGAAAATGGTGTGGATTGTTCCTTCATCAGCAGGAGAATGTAACATGCATACATTGGATACAATAGCAAAGGCAGAAGGCATCTTTTAAAATTCTGAATTTGCCCTTTCACTAAAGAGAGATTTTTTTTTTTTTAAAAAAAGTACCTCTGGAATAACATTAAATTGTAAAATGTGGCTCAACTTTTCAAGTACTTACCTAATTAATACACATGGTTAGATCAAGCCAAAGGGTACATTCTAATAATATAACTCAATAAAGCAACTTGATATGACTTCTTCTCTTCATGTCCACACAAGTTTTAGGAAATCCTACACCAACAGTTCTGCTCCTCCCATTTCTAATTATTTAACATGTTAGGTCAGAAGCAAATTGTTTTACCTTAAGAGTTTCAAGTGTACCACCTTCTTTGGCAAGGACGCTGCCAGTGATTCCTAAAATGCTAACGACATTCACTCTAACCCCGACATTACTACTATGAATGCCTGCTTTGCATAATGTCATCAGCTGATCAGGAGTCATGCACTGTTGAAAGAGGAGAGGAGAGTATTTATAATGTTAAACTCAACCAATTATATCAGCATGCAAAAACTGGACTGACAGGAATCTCTTCTATAGGCTACAGGATTTTAAGAGTGACATAAACTCCTGGCAGGTAAGTTACTATTAATATATACTCCAGTTCTCCCAGACAGAGCTGGTAATTCTGAACTAAGGTGAGCCCTGCTCATGTCGCCATTGTTATCTTAATATCAAAGGGGCTCCAGGTCCTATTCATTTAATTTGATGAAGACTTTCATGCCAGATGTACACAGACTAAAGAGATTCCAATTTCTTTTTAATATTAATGGTAAAAAAAAAAAAAAAAAAGGGCTTTGAAAGTATAAACAGGATTGTGTAGCTTTAAAAAAACTGGCTGAGTCTATACAAGGCAAGAACTTACTTTGAGATGTTTGTATTATCATAATTAAACACTGTAAAAACCATTACATTATATGGTGCTTCTACCATGTAGTGGGTAATTTTCAGTTTAAGGCTGGGCGCAGTGGCTCATGCCTGTAATCTCAGCTACTCGGGAGGCTGAGGCACAAGAAATGCTTGAACCCGGGAGACAGAGGTTGTAGTGAGCTGAGATCACGCCACTGAACTCCAGCCTGGGCAACAGAGTGAGACTATCTCCTATAAACAGCAGCACAGTGTGGTGATGAAAGGCTTGGAATCTGGAGCCAGACACCCTGGGTTCAAATCCTAGCTTCACTACTTAGCACTCGCGTGCGCCCCTACACTAGACTAATTTATTTCTAGTTTTTGTAGACATGAAGTCTCACAAAGTTGCCCAGGCTGTTCTTGAACTCTTGGGCTCAAGCAATCCTCCCGCCTCAGGCTCCCAAAGTGTTAGGATTATCAGCATGAACCACTTCACCTGGCCCTGAGCATGGGCTTTGAGTAATTCTCCTTAACCATCACACTGATCCCATAAGCTGCTGCTTACATACCAGGGGAAATCAACAAAAATACTTGATATTCCTATAGGCCCTAGAGTATAAGGTTTTCTGGTCCATCCAACAGCTACACGGCATGCTATGCATCCCATTACCATTCCCATTTCTTAGAAACTGAAGGTCAAATTATGCTCTTCAAAAAAATTCTTAGCTTTGGAAAGCTGAGGCAAGAGGATCACTTGAGGCCAGGAGTTTAAGACCAGCCTGGGCAACATAGCAAGACCTCATCTCTATTAAAAAATTAAAAAATAAAAATAAAGTATAAAAAAATTTAAAAGCATTAAGAAAAAAAGTATATAAAGCAGCAAAAAGAAATAGTGTTATTGTTAGCAATAACAAGGGCATTGTTATTTTGATACTATTAAGTACATTCTGTAGGATAAAGCAAATAATAGTTTTAAAGTCACTACAATTTTAATGTTACTACAGCAAACAATTTTAGTATTACTGTATAGCAAATAATTTTAATGTCTTTTAATGTCACTACTACAAAGTACATTCTGTAGGAGAAAGCAAATAATAAAATTTTTGAAAAATCTTTTTCTTTCTTCTTTTCTCTAATTTCAATTTTTAAAATTATGTATCATTATTATTATTATTATTTTTTGAGACGGAGTCTCGCTCTGTCGCCCAGGCTGGACTGCAGTGGCACGATCTCGGCTCACTGCAAGTTCTGCCTCCCGGGTTCACGCCATTCTCCTGCCTCAGCCTCCCAAGTAGCTGGGACCACAGGCACCCGCCACCGTGCCCGGCTAATTTTTTTGTATTTTTTAGTAGAGACGGGGTTCCACCGTGTTGGCCAGGATGGTCTCGATCTCCTGACCTCGTGATCCACCCACCTTGGCCTCCCAAAATGCTGGGATTACAGGAGTGAGCCACCGCACCTGGCCTATTTTTTATTATTTTTTAAGCCAGTCAAACTTAGCATGGGGGGGTTGTATACAACTTTAGTGACACAATGTTAATAAGCTCTGATAACCCATTACCATCAGACCAGTTGCAAGTAAGAATTTTAATGTCACTAATGTATCTTTTTGGGTACAATGTACCTTTTTGGTTACAAATGTATCTGTTTTGGGGGTACAAAAAGATACAAATACAAAATCAAAAATTAAGTAAAAACATTGTACCATTTTTTAATTTAAACTGGAAATTATCAGTATAAACTTACTAGTTTTGTCTCCTACAAAAATGCTTATTTCCTAGCTATTTCCACTAAAAAGACCTAGAAACAATGACAACATGGTAGCAATAAGCACTCTACAATTCAGTTTCCCGACTAAAGACATCAGAGTTTCTTGGAGAAGTAACTAATTCCAGGGTTTTTTTTTTTGTTTGTTTTGAGACAGAGTTTCACTCTTGTCACACTCTTGTCACCCAGGCTAGAGCTCAGTGCTATTTCGGCTCACTGCAACCTCCACCTCCTGGCTTCAAGTGATTCTCCTGCCTCAGCCTCCCAAGTAGCTGAGATTACAGGCGCGTGCCACCACGCCCAGCTAATGTTTGAATTTTCAGTAGAGATGGAGTTTTGCCATGTCGCTCAGGCTGGTCTCGAACTCCTGACCTCAAATGATCTGCCCACCTCAGCCTCCTAAAGTATTGGGATTATAGGCATGAGCCACTGTGCCCAGCCAGATTCCAGGTTTTAAGCAAGAAAATCTTATGCCTGGAAGCAAAAGTGATCAAAAACCTAAAATTCTTGTCAAAGAGACACAGGAGCCAATTTGAAGGGATTCCTACTATCCAAAGATGCGACGAATTTGGCAGCAAAAAGCATGACTGTAATGGAATGAAATACAAATATATTTTTAAAACCCTGAGTTCAAAATGATACTAAAAAGAAAAAAAAAAAATCACTGGCCACTTAATAGAGATTGCTAGGATACCTATTCTGGAAAAAACAAAAAACAAAAAACACATAGCCAATAAATGTAAAAAAATAGACAAAATTAGGATATCTCTATTCTGCAACCCACTAATGACATAATGGAGCCAGGCAACCACAATCACTGGTTATGAAACCATTAACGTGAACTCACTAATTAATCTCAGCTTCACTATTTTATGATACCACATGATTTGTGATATAAATGTAGGAAATATATATAGCACTATAAATTATTCTTGCCAAAAAATCTGGACCTGTCTAGATTACTTATTATAAATATAAAAAAAAACCAAAAAATAATCTGGACCTGGATCTAATTAAGGCTCTAGACCTAGCTCCCGGCTCACAGGAAACACAGGGGACAGAGGAATGCTGAATGATACCATCATGATGAGTTGGCCAAATCTGCCAGTGTGGAAAACACTACAGAACAAAATGAGAGTTTCTTCAATGGGTAAGTGTATGGGGAAAGCAGGGGAGTGAGGGAAATGTTATAGATTAAGAGATTTAAGAATCTAAAACCAATGAAATCACTGAATTGTACACGTTAGTTATTTTTTTGAGACAGAGTCTCCTTCTGTCGCCCAGGCTGGAGTGCAGTGGCGCAATCTCAGCTCACTGCAACCTCTACCTCCCGGTTCAAGCAATTCTCCCTGCCTCAGCCTTCCAAGTAGCTGGGATTACAGGTGCCTGCCACCACGCCCC